GTACAACCCTTGGTTGTTTAATACATTTAAGAAAATCTTAGGATCTCATAAAATATCGAAACACATTTAAGCTATTATAATGCCTTATAAACATTCGTCTTCGTCACCCATGTTCGAGATGCGAATTAATAATTAATGTACATTGCTTTAGTCACCATTGAGTTTCCGGTTCGACACGGATATCTCATAATGGCAACCGTCTGTCACTTGGCTCCAACTTTTCGACGTCTTTGAATCTTAAATATGTATTCAGAGATTACCGGTGTTTGTTTAAATTGATCTTAGACATTAAGAGACTTAATTTCTACAACCTAAATCAATTAAGTCATCATCATCAGCCCTCATCAGTACACTGCTGGAGAACCGTTCCAAGATACACACCTAGCTAGCTCCACCCCTCCACTACTTTAAGAAAAAATTGTTCTTTCTTTATTAAAATTTTTCCTTTTTTTTCTTGAAAAAGAGTATGTATACACAGTACACATGTTATAATCGTAACTTCATTGGTTATTTATATTTCAAACCTGTAAGATATATAAAAATAATAATGAGGATTACGTTATAATACGTCAGAGAATCAGAATCAAGATATAATTTAGATTTTAACATATTTCTTAGTACAGAATATCATGTTTACATACAAATCTTGTGCACATACAAAATTCTAATTTTATTTTAATTTATTTCAAAAATAAATTAGAATAAAGACAAAAACAAATATAATTTTTATAAATCTATTTAACGTATGTTGAAATTTATCATTAAATATATTTATTGATTATATTCATTGTTAAATAAATTTATCGCATGGTTCATGCACACCTCACAAATTGATGACTATTGTGACCATTTCTCATGACACGAAATTTAAATTGTATGCGCGAAAAGAAGTCTCACTTCAAGAAACATTATTCTTTCACTATTCAAATGTTACCAAGCTATAAGATTAATCGCGATTTCACCACGATTGGAGTGGATTTGCAGTGCGCCTGCGTTTGAGTCGCTCCGACACCGCGACACATTAAATAAATTCAATTATGTCGTGCCGAGACGTCTTCGCTTCTTGGAAGCTCACTGCAGTGCATTCTTAATGAGCCCACTTCTCTTGGCGATGTCTTCATCGACCCACTCAGGGGCGGACTCTAGTCACTATAATATTAAATTATTTTTTTTGCGACGTGGACTACGTCCGTAATGCTTCTACGCAAAAGCACTACTAATATGATCTTTGTGAGGTGGCTTGAACTTGAAATTTTTTGTACTTTAAAAACAAATACCCAACTTAAAATCTAGCATAAAGAAAGGTATTGAAATTTGTTAACAAGTTTTATATCACATTTTATCATAATGTAAAAGTAAGGTACAAAACTTGTTAAAGAATGTATCATTGGTCTATTTTAGGGTTCCGTAGCCAAACGGTAAAATGGAACGTAGTTAGACAGTCGAAATTTTCACAGATGATGTATTAGATTTCATAGATAACATGATTTGTTGCCATTTTTATAGATAATGGTACGGAAACCTTCGTGCGCGAATCCCAATCGCACTTGGCCGGTTTTTGGTGTTCAGATTCTATAATCATTATATATTGCAGGATTATATTGATTTTGTAACAATAATATATAAATAACATAATCATTTTTCATAGAAGTGTTTTATTAACAAATTTACATTACATTGTGTAGATTTGCAAATCCAGATCAATGGTTTGTCAAAATAATAAAAAATACTTGTTCACATTCTTAATCGAACTACACAGAGCTACAGCTCTTTTTTTTTCTTTTGCGTGTTGTAACTTCGATCCCCGCGCAAGACAAAATGAGTTATCTACAAACTGCTTTCAATCTGGGTATACTTTACGCCCTTGATTTTACGATTTAGAAATTACAGAAAATACTGAAGAAAAGTAAAAAAGTTAAAGACAATTCCCATCTCATAGCATATTCAACAGTAGTCCCAACAAGGTATACAGAAAATATACTTCCGACTTAACTTCTGAATTTCTTCATATTTATCTGGACCTAAGTTCGCCCCTGTGGGCGTGTCGGATCCGACAGCGAGTCGCCGATTTTAAGTCGAAATTATAACTTTATTATTGGCGGTCATTTCGGAAATTAATTTCCCGGGATCGAGACTAAATTGCGGGCGGTCACCGGATTTCAGGAATGCCGTTCTCGGGTGGGGCAATAATTTTTCCAATGCGCATCGTGATGTTTACATAAGTGTTCTCGATAAACATGAAAAGGGTAATTGCGTCAATTATTTTTTTTATCAATTTAATTCATATGTTTAAACGCGTGGTAGTTTTGGTTGAATTTATAGCCTGATTTGATGGTATAGTCACTGAAATCGGTACTGGTATGGTAATGGTAAATAACTGAAATGGTACCCAGTTATCAGGGAATAATATCTTAAATCAATTGTACGTATGTTTTTTAAACTATAGAAAAAGTGCGTTACTGATAAAAATGTTCTTGAAAGACAAAAGTGCATTTACATACAATTTATAATATATAAATAAATCTATTTACATGATACATTATTCGCAACATTTTACAACAAATACGTATTTTTTGACAAACCTTTTCTTCGTAGCAGGACGCTGTCTACAAAACACACTGGTTCTAAGACAGGGTTCTAATAGTTGTACTTAACCTGCTGAAAAAATACCTACGTGGTACCAGCCGCGTAAATATTTAATAGTGATTTAGGTATAATAGTAGTAATTTAGTGTGGTGGAGTAACAAGAGCATCCTAACTTGTTCCTGCATTCTAGCAAGGCCAGCGATGTTTCATATCCTCGTGCAACTTTTGCGAGAGGCCCGAAGCCCCACAGTCTCAACGGACAGCAATACGCAGTGTGTGCGAACATGATTCAGTAGCCATCTTTTTTTATAAAAATAAACTAGCGCCCCGCCCCGGCTTCGCACGGCTTCGTGGCAATTGTCATTTTTAGGGTTCCAGAGTAATAGGTATTAAGACTCCGCTGTCTCTCTATCTGTCCGTCTGTCACCAGGCTGTAGTATCTCATTAACCGTGATAGTTTTAGTCAGCGTTTGCAATGCAAACAAACGAAAATATGTTTGTTAAGACATCACTTTACAAATCTTACTCTACTATGATGTTATACAGGTATACTACATTTAAACCTTCCTCTTTAATCACCCTATCTATTGCTGAAAACTCTATTAAAATCCGTCGTGTAGTTTAAAAGATCAAAGCGTACAAACAGCGAGGGCGACTTTGTTTTATTCTATGTGAAGTAGAACAGCAGAATCACAGACACGCTCGCTGCTATGGAGATGATACTCGTATATAAATGGAGTGCAGTTAAGCCAAAGAACGCGGAGGCTAAAGCCATTGGAAAAAAGGCTCGTGGCGAACACACAGCGACGGAGTGCGCAATTATCGGCCGCTAGTGTGAACACAGCCTACACTTGATTATAGCTTAACAGGTTAAGTTAAATTGTACACATTGGCGGTTATTTTTTACGACGCCACGTACCGGGCATGGATTGATTCCGTGAACAACGCCGCGATTAAGCTATCAACAGTTGTTTGTACGCGACTTTTTTTAATCACGACGGTTAACGTCGGTGTTTGTATAGTTAAGTTATAAACGCGGTTATTGATTTGATGAACAAATTCAAGTTATAAAGTTAAACACAATCGATTTAAACACTTAATGATGGTTTAAAGTTCGGAATGAGAGACAGCCAGTCAGTTACTATAATTAATAAAACGCATCTAGACAATGTTTCTTAAAAGCTGAATGCCTGATTAATTAGAATGTTTCAGTACTTTCACTCTTCTCACAGCAATAACTAGATTTTGATAAAAAATTTAAGCAGAGCTTATAACCATAAAAATACGGAACACTGAATTTTCTTCATGTATACGTAGCATTCATTCTCTTTTTTGATGGGAAACAATAACTGCTGCGACATAATACGTAGGAATCGGAAATGCCGGACTGCTCGCGAATTAAGATCAATATCTTACGAGTAAAAGCAATAAATAATAGACAATTTGTTGGGAGCGTGCCCTTTATCAATTCCCTTTTGCTGCTACGTAATAGATTTATGACGGGCTTCGAATGAAATGGCAACATTGATTTGTAAGAACTGCAAATAATAACTCATATATTATCGCCCACGGTTGTCTACGTAACCTTATAATTATATGTAATAGGCAATATGTTAATCCAATAAACATACTTTGTTCTCACCAAAACAAACTACACTCAACAAATGAAAGATGCGTGTCAACCAACAAAGGGGTGGAACAAGAAAAGGTTGATATCAATAAAATTGAAAAAAAAAACTAAATGCTCGTTAATCCCGAGTATAAATCCTAGTGCTGGCGGTTCATTCTAACGTTACTGAATTACGACATGCCTTGTGCTGAAAGAACACATTGTTTATAAACAGATATAATGAATATATAGGAATAAAGAAAAAAAAATATTTGCAAAGGATGTCCAGCCTGTTCTAATACGCCAGTAAAGAAGATGACTTGCGTAATCGTGGCGCCATAATTATATAAAAAACTTTTTATTAAGTACTTTCTTTTCACAGTTTAATTACGCATAGTAATTACAGTAGTACCCGTAGATCCGACAATAATTGAAAAAAAGACAGAGATTTGACTTAATGTTACCAATCAAAGTTCTGATGTTTTGGCGTCATACGAGAACATCGAAACAGAGTGGAGTTATTAACTGCACGGAATTTATTAGCGACGTTATACAACCCTCAAATAGATACTTAGCGAGTCCTCCCTCCCCAGCCACCCCCTACCCGGCGACATTAAAACATTGAGCAGGCTGGCTAAATTAAAGCGCGCCAAAACTGTTTGTCTGCGGGCCCAAGGCGGTCGTTTGTTTTAATACAATAACCTCACCCGTCTCCCTCGCTCGGCTCGTTAGGCACGTGCAGCTGTCCCGCTCTAGCACGCGTGATTTAATCTTTTCTCTTAAGGCGACATCGCAACTTATTGATATGGAGGATCGCTGTCGTTTCGTCGGTAACTTAGTTAATTGAGTTTAATATATGTCTATTGACTCGTCAGCGCTTCAAATTTATAATCACATCTCAGTTGTATCGAGATCGTTTTAGGTCCTTAATTATATATTGTAAATTTTAATTACTGTATGAATAGCGATAAAAAATGGTTTGAAACAACCACAGCTAAATTAATCATAACGTCCGCCATTTTTAATTCATACATTCTTGATTTTTATGACTTTTATAGACATTTTCACTAGTAATTGTGATTTATACTCAAATGAGCGAAATTGAAAGAAAAAAAATAACGTATTTAACGCAACAGAAGCGAGGTTCCCTTAATCACATCAAGTTATTTACGTTCGAAGTGGGAGTGGGTAATTTATCGCCATCCCTTTCTAGCCCCTAATCGGAAGCGGTCGCGCCGTCCCGCTCTCTCGGGGCCGTTTTTAATTAAAATCACCCGGAGAAAATTAGAAATTATATTCTATTTCACAAAAACTTGTTCTGACGCTTTGTCGGAGATTATCCATTTTTTATGAGTCCCCGGTCGAGGCTTTGTTTTAACTGCCGAGGAATCGCCTAAACGGGGTTTTGTTGACTGCCGAACTTTTACGGTTATGTCTTGTTCATTTACATCGATTGAAAATATAATTCTCTGCAATCATAGCAGTCGTTTTAAATTGTGAAATGATTACGAAAAATGCTATACTATATAGGATTTTTGTGTTAATGAAACACGTCCATTTAGATTATCATTGACATTAAGGAAGATATATCGACAGACCTTCGTATAAAACGTTATTAAAACTATTAGCAACTTCTTCAGATCAAAAATATTCACGTATAATATTCACTTAAGGTTAGAATTTTACAATAACGAATTTTAACCCTGTACGATAATTCTAATAAAGAATTCTTAATAAACTCAGTTTCGTATAGACAAAACAAAATTATAGAAGATATAAAGTAGGTACAGACCTAAGACACAGTGTAGTATACATACGCACTAGTTGCAGCCGTCCAAAATCATAGATAACTTAATTTTTGCAGGTGGCGTTGGCGACGATGACGGCGATAGCGGCAAGCGACGACGCTCCCGCACCAACTTCAACTCCTGGCAGTTGGAGGAACTGGAGAGGGCGTTCCTGGCCTCCCACTACCCGGACGTGTTCATGAGGGAGGCGCTCGCAATGCGCCTCGACCTGAAGGAGAGCCGTGTCGCGGTTGGTACAGATTATTAATACTTTTTTGTAACTCCAATAGTGTAAAATAACCGCTGACTGTTGTGTTACCAAATTTAAGACACTGACGACCGGTTTCTGAAACACTGATCATCGTAGAAGTCAAATAATTAACATTCTGATCATTAAGAAGATAATTTTGATCAATTCAGAGAGTTTAACAATCCTTTTGGCAACTCAAACAACTCCATATGACAGCTGATTAGTTGAGTTCTACGATGATAAGTGTTTCAGAAACCGGGTGTGTGCTTCTGAGTCTTCTTCTTCCTCGTTCCCTCAATGCTGAGGATCGTGACCACGAACAATATATCGCCAACCAGTGCGATCATGCGACTCATGGACAGCCCGATACATGCTACCGCCCACTGCCCCCTTCACAGCATCAGACCATTTTGCAGGCGCCCTGCCCCAATCACGTTTGCCATCTATTTGGACCGAGATAATGAGCCTCTCCAGATCATGTCGCGATGAACGCATAATGTGACCGAAGAACCTGTGGGCACGTTCTTGGCATATGCGTGAGAGTCGTTTATTGATGATTAGTTGTTTAAGGATGTAATTGTTTGTTCTCATGGCAGTCCATGGTATCTGCAGCATCCTCCGCCAACAGCACATCTCAAAAGCATCGATTCTGCTGCTATCACGACTATAAGGAATCAGTATATTTTTTTTCTATACTTATCGTGAAACTCAAAACTCATAAGAGTATAATTTTCGCATACTTTGGAAGTATACTTTTCCAGACATAAAATAATAAATTTATATCATTGCTCCATTCTAAGCACAAAACAGAGTTACCTTTATCTAGCAACGTTGTTGCAAATTGAAAAAAAAAAAAAAAAATTTATGAAGCGTACACTATAAAAGAAATACCGCAATTACCCGTTTACATTCAAAGAAGGCGTTTGTCGAACAGGAAACACGTCTTAAACGTGGCAACATTAAAGTTATGAGGCGGCGTTACACCCTGTCCGGTCATGGTGTTTAAACAATGCATTATCCATTGCGACGCCATGTGTATCGTTTAGTATATTTAGAATGTTGCGTTTCAGTGACGTGTAAGGTTTCACGCGTAACGTCTCAATTCTTAATGTACGTAACTTATGCCCACAGCAATGGCCTGTTAACAGCTTTATTTAAAAACCTAGATCGTTTAAAAGGGCATAATAGAATTTATTAAAAAAGTTAGATTATCTGTGTACTGCAACCGATGACTTTTTTCCTTGTACCTTAGCAGAATGACGTTCTTTAATATCCATATAAAATTACTATTACCGTGTTATACTTATATCGTATATAACGACTATTTCAATATGAAATTAATAAAAACCAGTTGGAAATGGAGCAAATATTGAAAGCTTGACAACCTCAAAATGGCGTTATAATATATTGTAAAATTTTCAACGAAAAAAATCTAATTGCACTATCGTAGGTATGGTGAAAAACATTATAAACAACTCAAAGTTTTGTATAAAGTGTGAGCCTCAAATTTTTGATGCGTTTGTCTGCAACATCTTAACAATCTAACTATTTTATGTAATATAGTTCAACACCGCGCATTCGTAGATAGTGGAAAACTATTTTTCCATTTCATTGATTTACGTAATAAAGGTATATGGGGCCACATAAGCGGCGAGTCGGTTCCCGTCTAATATAAATGAGGGACGTTTTCCCTTATTTTCCCGGACCTCCCCAGGCTAAGCGGCCACTGGGGACCCGGGGAGGCCGCGCAACTTTTTATACGGGCTTTAGGAAAGGGACGTTCGACCTTCGATAATGCCAGCCTGAATGTAGGCAGTTTTTTTAGGGTTCCGTATCCAAAGGGTAAAACGGAACCCTATTACGAAGAATCCGCTGTCTGTCTGTCTGTATATCTGTCCGTCTGTCTGTCACCGGGCTGTATCTCATGAAATTTTGAAAATTGAAACAGTTAAAATTTTCACAGATAATATATTTCCGTTGCCGCAATAACAACAAATAGTAAAAAACACATTAAAAAAATATTTAAATGGAGCTCACGTACGACAGTCATGATTTTTTGCCGGAACTCTTCGTGCGCGAGTCCGACTCGCACTTGGCCAGTTTTTATATACGATATTGAAATATGTACGGTCGAAAATGAAACGCTGTGAAAATCTAATATATGTATGTGTTGCCGATACTCCCATTGGATAATTATGTCAGAGGGATATATTCTATTATCATACGAATACTACAAAACGTGAGAGCCGTGATAGCTCAGTGTCCGGGCGCTCGCCTTTAATTCAATATAATCGAGCAACCTGAGTTCGATCCCCGGTGCCGGCACCAATGAAGTTTTAAAACTTTAAGTGCTGACTTATCACGTGCTCCGCGGTGAAGGAAAACATCGTGAGGAAACCTGCATATTTTCGAAATAATAACAAAAAAATATATATATATATTTCGAAGATATGTGAAGTCCGCCAATCCGCAGTGGGGCCGCGTGGTGGACTATGCCCTGATACCCTCTGTATAGAGGAGGCCTTTGCCCAGCAGTGGGACATGTATAGGCTGTTACTTTACTTTTTTTTTTTACTTTATTTTACATGCCTTCGTGTTGCTGTCTTAGTTTTCATGTCTATAAAATCATATTTTTAAGTTGTGTGAAGTTATATCTACGTATTTTAGCGCGTTTGGAAAATATTATGGGAGTAAGCTTTTTAAAACGCGACTAAGTAATCTTAATGAAATGTCGATGGCATTACCTATCTCTTCCTATATTGGATAGGGTTAAGGGTTAAAAGATGTAAGAGCCTCCGAATATTTATAAAAGTTCCCTCATATGTAATGTGTGAATTTGAACTTTTTTGACCGATAGCACGATTTGAAAATTATTCACGAGATCGAATTGAAAGAAAACAACCCAGTTTTCTTTTTATTATAAAGACGATTATTACTTATTTGATTTTCTATAAGCGCGTTAACTTAAAGGTGACGAATAACATATTGCCGCGTGGTGGACTATGCCCTGATACCCTCTGTATAGAGGAGGCCTTTGCCCAGAAGTGGGACATGTATAGGCTGTTACTTTACTTTTTACTACAAAACGACCAATTATACAATGTCTACGAATACAGACAATAATTCAAAGTGATTCAAAGTGATTCAAACATTGGAAATTGATAAGACTGCAGTTTACCGTTTAATTGTTACACGGTGAGATTAAATCGTAAAGGAATGGAATAAACTTATAGAATTAATGAACCTCAATATAAAATAATTCCTTATTGTACGTAAACATAAATAAGGATATCAAAACTACTTTAATAAATATGTGAATAATGTGATGCAAATATGAATATGTAAAAAGGTACCTTACATACATACTTACTATATTTTAGAAATAATATCTAAAGTATTTATAATATTGTGAACGTGTAATCATGAATATTAAAGTTTGATTAGTGTTGATTATCTTACACAAATCTAATCTTTGATAGAAAACACTACATTTTTCTTTAGCATCGTATGAGATATGACTTTACAAATATATTTAAGTAGATTTACAATAATTCTTTAGCGTTAAGGGTAAAAGAGGAACTCTACAATATTAATGTAGAGTCGAAACATCCATTATTTTATTAAAATACTACGAGGAACGAACCAGAAGAGAGGTATTGTTGGGCATTTGTTAAAACACCTTAAATCTTTAAATTCGCTGAGTGCAATTTAATAAATTGTCGTAAAGCAATATGAAACGAATTGGTTTCTATAACATGATCAGACGTGGATTGTATCTCCTATCGTTGGATCTGGACGAGACAGACTACCCTAATAGTTGGTATAAATCAAAAGATTGCAATCTCGGCTGCACCCCTGGGACGTGAGCGAGACGGCACGATTGAATAGCATGGATTTAAATGGCAGGGTCAGATAAGGACGGCTGCGTATCCGCCGTTCCGACTTCGAGCGCACGTCACAATTCGATTACAGCTCAATAAAGTTAAAGTGACTTGTTTGCGTCTGTAAAGTGGATTTTTTTCCTCTTGGCTATCTCTATTTTCCTTTGTAGGGTAGGGCCCGATCGAATTATTGAGCGTTGAGCTCTCACGTCTCCTGTTTCGTATTTTTCCTTTAACACGTTTACTTGATTTAAAAGTTTTCACGTGAACACATGTAAAATGTGATGTTGGCGAACGAAAATCGGTGAAAAGTACGAGGCCTGATAGGTGGTCGTTAGAGCGCCATTCTTCACCGGAAATGGCGTATTCCGATCTAATTTCATCCCCGCTCGGCGCGAACTTACGAAAGTGGCTCGCCCCGCCGCGAGCGCGGAAGCGTCGGCCCCATTTTAAAATTCATAGCATAAAATTTACATTTATATGCCAATTTCATTCCCTAACAGGGCGTCGGCGGTCGCACGCACACATCAGTATTCCCAACACATCCGGCGCCGGCCGGCTACACCCCCCGTGCGGGGGAAAAGGGAAAAAATAGAAAAAAATCCTCCGCGCCCTTCGCTCGTTTTTCTCGACGAAAAACGCGCGATGTTTAAATATGGAACACTAAATGGAACGCTTAGGCGACAAAATGCGGGTAGAATATAAAATTTACGTACTCCCTCCTTGTCTTTCCTCAACGCGGGGGGATTGTTGTCTCGCTCGTTAGAGCTATCAAACATGAGTCGGCCTCACCGCCCTAGGCTTAACGGTAAAAGATAGACACACCAGTATTATGGTTGCCCTCAATCTCGTAATAACTTGTTTATTTTATTCGTTAGTGGATTGTTGAATTATTGTTGTAATATTTCGACTGAAAGAAACATTAAAATGCGACAAATTCGATATATTTGATTCATTCATTGATTTCTTATATAATACCTAAAGTCTTTATGTATAAATGTCATATTTTTATTTAAACTACTATGATACCAAAAATGCAATTTAGCAGAACTACTTTGACACTTAATGTTATATAATATGTATATTATATATGACATATTAATTCCACTTGTTTAATAT